GCATTTATAACTCTGAGTTCAATGGAATCAGGAAATAAAAATAAAAATTTACGTCTTCAAATAATAATGCCAAGCTATAACATTAACGAGATGTTCCCTCCAAACTAAAATTCAAAGATGATTATGAACTTCTTGAAAAAACTACAATAATCAAAATGATTAGAAGTTTGGGATTACCAAGCATCTATGAGCATCAGATTAAAAAGCCAGTAAAACAGTTGCATGGTTTGACTGCATTTCAGTTCTGGTGCGTAAATGGAGGAAAGTGTTCATGAGGAATGGTGAAGAAGAGGCCATAAAAAAGAAAAACAAAGCAGAATCCAATTCAGAGAGTTATGATGGGAGATTCTTGGTCTGAAACACATAGGCCTACCTAAAAGTAAGGTCTCTGCAAGAACTGATACTTTTTACTCCATAATCTTAAATCAGAACTAATGCAATGTTTTCAGTTATTTTCAAAGTGAAGTATCCTTTACAAATTGTCTAATCATCCTACTGCTATATTTAGCTTTCCTGTAAACAGTTTTCTTATTTTTTACTTCTTTAAATCCATGTAGAATATTGTCACAATAATACAATATTTTAAAAGAGATTTTAATGATATTTGGTATTTTACATTTTTACAGGAATTCAAATCAGACTAATGGTAAAGAATACTGGAGATTCTACTTTAATGAACAGAAAATAATCATTTTAATTTTTGCCTTACATAACTTAGTTAAACAAGCATTTAATCATTTCTTCAGTGGATTAACTGCAAATGTCTTCATCCCTTGCCAATTTTTTAACATAATTAAGTTAACAATCCTTTAAAATCAAATGCTATCCTTACTTTCCACTATATCTTCCAGAGGGTTGCTGGCCCAAAGGTGTATTTGAACTGGAAAACAAGGCCTTTTTTCTTCCAGACACACTACTAACAAGAGTGGGAAATTATAATAAATATTCCACCCCGCAGTGGCTATGAAGTGAATGTACCTTGTAGAGCTCTGTGGGCCCAAATGCACACAACCATATATGGCTGCTAAGGTTTGCCATCTCCCATACATGGAGGAGGTCATTCCTTCCTTCACTGGTGTTCCCTCCATTTACACACCTCGTGTTGTGGCTCACCGTTCAGCATTGACACTGACCTTCCACTCTGCCTGCAACTGAAAGATGCCTGGTACCACTCAGAGTTACTGGGGTCCAGGCTGGGATCCTGACCGGAAGGTCATGCTGACGTGAAGGAATGAGGAACTGTTGCAAGGGGAAAGCAAGGCCCCTTCAAAATAGACCAACAGCCTCTACTCAGATTCTGACGGCTGCTGTGTCATCTGGATGTCATGTGTAAACCCTTCCATGTTTAACTAAAGAAAAGAATTGTAAGTGCTATGTCTGTTCAGTCATTACTCCTGTGAGCCACAACATGAGGCCTGCCTGCAGACAACCTTGACTCTAGGTCAACATATGGTTTGGCCAACTATGTGTCCCTTCGGTTTGTGTTTGTTTTGGTGTTTTGGAAACATGCACTTCATCCTATCTCATCATAGCAAAGGCAGCGAGAGAGCTAAAATTACATGGAATAATGGACACACGGTGAGAAATTAAAAAGAAACAAATATAATAAAAAAATGAATTAAAAAATTATTCTAATGTTAGTCAGCATCAAGGCTACCACATCTGCATGGGCTTAGCCGTGCCTAGGCATGAGGTGGGGCAGCTGGAATCATGGCCCTCAGGATAATGAATAGGTGAGCTCCTGAGCACCAAATCAGAGCACAGCCTCGTCGCAAGTGGGGAAGCTTTTCCACGCCCCTCTTTCTGGCCATGACCACATGGGACTGTGGGGTCCTAGCGGGCAGGTGCTGATCACATTTATTTTGCCCAATGGCGCACCTGGTAGTATCCCTGGCTCAGAATCAGTGCTGAAGAGATGGTAAATACTCCTTCAATGCCAAAATGTGCGATGCCAGGTTTGAGTAGGGAAATATATGCCAAGATTTAACTGACTACTTGGGGGAAGAAATACCAAACTCCCAAATTTATCATTCCTACGGAAAGACTCAAAATACAAAGACCTCACAGTATGGAATCTAACTGGACTGTGAAATTAAAATAACAAAAACAAAGCTTCCCTTTCCACTGCAAGTCACAGTGTGAATTCAGATGTACAAATGAACTGATGTACAACTGCATTTCTTTTTTTTTTTCTTTTTTATTATTTTTACGTGGCCTGGAAAAGAGAGGAGAAAGAGGAGAGAGAGAGGAGAGAGGAGAGAGGAGAGAGGAGAGAGGAGAGAGGAGAGAGGAGAGAGGAGAGAGGAGAGAGAGAGAGAGAGAGAGAGAGAGAGAGAGGGAGAGAGAGAGAGAGACTACAACTACATTTCTAAGGGAAACTATGGGGGCAGCTCACCACAGCAATTCCATCCCATTCCAGATTATCTGTCCGCTATTTTGTGTCTAGAGGACAGGAAGTCAAAATTCAGAGAAGAACTTACTAGATAAAATGGATCTAAATTTCTTTGCATGTGAGCTAGTAGTAGTTCTGCCCTAGAAATCCTTTAAAATTCAAATCCTGGATTTCCCACTGAGGTGTTTTGTGGTTTGTATACCAATGTGCTTTCCCTGCCTGAGACTAATTGGTCTTATATTTAACAAGAGTTTACAGAACTAAAAAAAATAAAATGCTTTGGGGCAGAGCATGCTGTGAGCCAGCCCTGTTAATGCTCCTAAAAACATTTCAAAAATGCATTTTCCCACAAGAAAGATGACCCAGGACCTGGCTGAGCTGGTCATGGTGGGCATGACAGGGGAGGAGGGGTTTAGATCTGAGGGCAAGGCTAGGGGAGTAGAGTTCCAACTATCTGCAAAGCAACATGCCAAGAAGACAGTAACATAAAACAAGGAATTAACCACGTAGCTGGAACTGTTTAGGAATGTTTCAAATAACTCCACTATTGTGAAAGGCAGCCTAATCATGGCTTAGAAGCAGAAGGGGACCTGCCAGAACCCAAATGAGCTGCCAACAGGGCAGGGTCCAGAATAGTCTTCTGTTCATGCAAAGAAGACACACACACCATGGGGTCTCTATCCCACAGTGACAGAGATGAATGGACATGGACACATAGTATTAATATTTGTCATGTCCCAGTGTTGACTATGTGCCAGGTCCGATACTAGGGGCTCCATGTAATGACTTCTACAATCTTGATTCTGTAGAAGTTGCCACCCCCACCTCACAGATAAAGATGCGGAGGTTGGAAAGTTTAAATTACTAAGTCGCCATTATACAGATGTTAAGTAGGAGAGATGGGATTCAAAGCAAACAGTGAATAAACTGTTAAAATGCTACACTCTACTACGGCTCATGAAAAGTGCAGAGAAAAAAGTATGTGGGGAGAACAATGGGGACAGTGGAGAAATCGGCCCAATGTACAATAAAAAAGATGACTTCCAAAACATCTGTGGATTAACCACAATAACACACACATTTCATAACACAACCCAGTATCGTGGTCGGCAAACTGTGGCTTGCGAGCCACATGCAGCTCTTTGGCCCTTGAGTGTGGCTCTTCCACAAAATACCACGGCCTGGGCATTAGAAGAAGTTTAAGTTTAAAAGAATTTGGCTCTCAAAAGAAATTTCAATCGTTGTCCTGTTGATATTTGGCTCTTTTGACTAATGAGTTTGCCGGCCACTGATTCAGTCACTGCATCACTCTGGATATAAACAACTAAAAAAAAAAAAAGTCTTACAAACATATTTAACCTTATTATGTGTGACACACTAATATTTTCTGATTTTTTTTCTATTCTATGTCAGTACTTTTAAAATGCTGATTAGATTTCATGTACATGACTTTACAGCTCTCCAGAAGGTCAGAACCCACAGTTTGAAAATAGGTACCATGACCAAGCTGATGACCACCAACCACTATTACTGTTTTCAATGTTTGAGTAGAATATTAGGCTTTTCAATATTTTATATGTAATTTCCTCCAATCTGTTCCTTTATTTAGAAGAAAGAAAGGGAGAGAAAGTTGCTAAGAGGGAGAGAGAAGCAGTGGAGAAAAATTTCCATCATTTTATTTTTATACGAAAAAGAGGAGTGAAATGAACACACTGGAAACAAGAACAGCTCCATCTCGATGACAAAGGAGCTTGCCCCAAAAGACAGAGGTGAAAGGACCAGGCCAGGGAAGGTCCTGATGTCTTTGATGTTCCTTTAACTTGTCAGGAAGACAGAATTAGTCACTGGTAAAAGGAACACCTGTATCTGTTCCTTTGGCAAATTTTAAGACTGAAAGACAAGTCACATGCCTACCACTCATGTTACCTTCCACACAATAAAGCACCAGGTCTCTCTGGGCTACTTGGTCAATATTGATTGAATTTGACATTAACAAGTCTTGACAACATTACCTGTGGAAGGATGAAAAGTTTGGCTTCTAGGTACAAAATCAATACAGGGGCCAGGAACACTCATTAATGCCAACACAGCCCGTATTTTAAAAGAAAAAGAAACAATGGCAAATCATAAGCTGAATGGTCTCAATATATACTTCAGTTGGGGATTTCTGGGAGGGTATGAAGAGGGGTCTCTTCAGAGAAGTGACTGATGCCGTTTATTAATCTACTTGCAAGAAATGTCAAATTTTGAAGTTGTTCCAAAGAAAACCACTTTTTTCCCCTTTACATCAGGCTCTTAATATGCTGAGGGAACCTGTTCAAAATGCTTCAGCAGTGAAAATAACTTAGATGATAAATGTGTTCTCCAATCTGTGTACCAGTCAAGTGGCAATAAAATCAGGATAATTCATGCAAAAATTTTCATTATGTTTCTAAACATACTTATTTACATTTTAAATCACACATTAGACAATATGAAATATCTTTCATTTAGACAGGTGTGAACTAGAAAACAGATGCGTTCATTATACACAGAACAATTCGGTGAATTAAAAAAAAAATACTCAAAGAACTCTCTGGATGAAGTACTTGGGCCACTGTTAACTTACTTGGAAAAAGATGGCCATGGCTCCGATTATTCTGTTTTCAGAAATGGCAGTTTGAAAGCTGTCAAAGTCGTCTGGATTGTAAAAGAAAAGCTGCATCTGAAAAAGAACAATTGGAAGTGGATTAGTAACATTTCCACTCCTATACCAAAGTAGAGAGAACAATATAATCGGTTCCCCACTTACTAAGATTATTCATCTACCCATGTTTGTTCATTACAAAATCACTTCAGCAGGCATCACCCAAACACACATCTTCTCACATAACGACAAAATATAAACACTGGAACCTTCTTATTGTCTGATGCTTATGTTATGGGGGAAGTTCCTGATTGAGAAGCAAATTTGAATGGAGTTATACACCTTGACGTGAAAAACTGAGCTGTGAGATTCAGTCCACATGTTAAAATTATAAATTCTCAAATGGGCACATTTGTATAAATACCACCAGTTCTAACAATGAGAATTTGAAGGGGTCTCCCAGCAATCTTGAGAAATAGCCTAAATTTCAGGGACTCAAAAAATATATATATAATGGTAATGATAAAAATGACGCCTTCACAGTTGGGGAAAAGCCATCTCATTCATTATTTCACTCAATCCATCTAACAATGCCTGTGAAGATAGAGCAGAAATTACTGCACTCAGTTATAAATGAGGAAGTAGGGCTTCAGAAAGTTGATGTTATCTTGGCTAAGATTAAACATCAGAGGGAGAATGTAAAATCCAGATGCTCTCAGCCCAACCTTAGATAATTTCTCTTACATTTGGCTAGGATTTCTTATTCAAAACGCAGAATAGAGATAAATCAACTTAAATCATTATGAAATTTTAATGCTTGAGCACTCTGATAATTCACACAATTCAGAGAACAAAAAGAGACCACAGAATATTCTCCTGAGAACACACTTATGATAAAAATAACAGACTGGGATTTCTATTCCAGTTTCCTCATTTCCCTGCCTTTGAGATCTCAGGTAAGCCAGCTAATTTCTGAGCATCAGCTTTCTCATGTACAGAATCAAGTATTTATCCTTGGTAAGGTGGGTATGGGGACCAAACAAGTTAGCATATGTAGCACCATGTCTAGACCTCATCAGTGCTCAAGTCACTATCACCACCACCACTACCACTATCAGCACCAACATCGTCACCACCATCACCAACCAACATCACCATGATCACTACTATAACCACCATCACCACAACCACCATTACTACCACCAACATTACCATAACCATTCTACCATCATCACTACCATCATCATCACCACCACTACCACTACCATCAGAACCACCACCACCACGATCACTACCATCATCATCATCACTACTACCACCACCACATAGTGTAAAGTTAAAGACTGGTAGACATCTTAAAATTTCTAGCAAGAATGGAATTCCACTGAATCTTACAGATTGACCCTGCTCCTTACAGTAAACCAAATCTATATCATTAGATCTCTTCCGTGACCTCTTTTCCCCATTTTTCCAAATGACATGATGCTATTTTCTGTACCAGACTGAACAACCACACCCCAGATGGAGTTTGGAGAGGTTATACTAAGTAATAATAAATTCCCAGTGGAGAAAGCGTAATCAATCATAGAGACTAGCAGAAATACAGGTCAATGGTAAACAGAGTCCTATAGACTGATTTAATCAGTATGTTAATTGAGTTCACCAATAAGAACAAGGTGACATTTCTTTTCTGAACGGTGAAATCTGGAATCTAAATCAAGACATTGTCTAGAAGAACACAGGATGCCATTGGATGGTAGAAGAACAGGTAGATTCTTTTCCAGAGTTTTCTTTCTTTGGGTGAATTATTTTTCTCAGACTGTGAATTCCCACTGAGACTGCAGCTTCTTACAAATGTGTTGCGTTTAGGTTTGGACAGCTTTAGACATCATGAATTTATACTGAGAAAAATCCATTCGATGAGGTGCAGATTAAAACAGTTTAATACTGGGTGAATTGCTTTGGGTACATGGCTACTACCCCAAGGAAAATACTCCACAAAAACATATTCAGAAAAATTACACTTCACTTTCCTTTTAAAACTCAGGCCCTCAAATTAAGTAAGTTCACAGAAGGTTTTCTTGTTCTTCAGCATATGAGCAAGGCGGGCACTGTGTAATGCATCACCTGAATAGTGTGTGATACAAAATACTTTAAGTCTTCTTCAAGGGCACTTTCATTTACAACAGGGTGAGAAAATTCATTTTTAGAAAATGTCTTTGAGTCATGGCTCCACCCATCAGGATAATGCAATGTCTCATAAAAAGAACGGCGGCACGAGTCGGAAATATCAATTTTCCTGGCTAGTTCTCTCAAGCGGTAGTCTACTGAATTATGCTAACGTTTGAAGCTATCTTAAACAGTAGAGTAAATAAGCAGATGGAGTTTGGCTGAGTGAAATGGACTTTAAGTTATCTTAGTTTTATTCTTGATGAGACATATTTGAGAAGAGGCTAGAAACCAATTTTCCAAAAATACCTTTGGAAGGAGCTGGGTGGCTACTAAATACCTTGAGTAGCCCATCAACATTCTGTACCTGCTCTCAAGAGCCACACTCAGAGCATCCTCCAAAGTGTGTTCTTCCTAATGGTGTGGATGTAAGTGATGCTCACTGGCTGGCAATCATCCTCCTGAAAAACCATGGTGCACATAAGCTGAAAGGATGTGGGAAACGCAGCAATAAAGAGATCCATTAACTGTTGCACACACATATCTTTCCCCACCGCTACCAACTGTTCACATTTTACTCCGCTTGCATCCTATCTCCTCACGTGCAAGGCTTTTTCTGAGTAATTTCATACTAAGTGGGAGATAATACACCCCTTCACCTATAAATACTTAAGTGCATCCTTTCTAAGAATAAGGATGTTCTATTAAATATAACTACAGCGTAATTATAAAATTAGCAAATTTCACTTCGATGCAACACTATTATCTCATTTATAGTGCACTTTTCTGGCAAGTGCCCAACTAAGCCCTTTGTGGGTCATTATATGGGTTCTCAGGCCAGGAATGCAATCTATGATCAAACTTTGCCTTAGCTGCCACGTCTCTATACTGACCCCTCTCACCCTCAACCTTCATCCGGAGCAGCCCCTCAGCCTTTCTTCACTCTGGTAATGTGAAGTGTACAGGCCAGTTATCATGCAGAATTGAAGCCTGTCTCATGGTTTTTAGCATTAGGTCACAGGGTATATTTTGGGTAGGTTACCACAGTAATAATACTGTGTCTTCTCAGTGCACCATGCCAGGAAGCACAGTAAATGGGTGTTGAACTTGATCACGTGGTTAAGGTGATGTCTGCTAGGCTTCTCTATTATCATGTTACTAATTCTCCTTTTGTAATTAAAAAGTACTTTGTAGGGGAGATATTTTGAGATTACATAAATACCCTCTTCCTCAGCTAACCTTAACCTACCAGCTTTAGTACCCATGAATGATTTTCTCACTCTGCCGTATTCCTGTATCCACTCATGGCATTCTAGTGTAAGAAATTGCCTTCCCTTCTCCAGTTTATTCACTCCTTCTTTCGTCTATATAAAAAAGGAATCATTTTTTTTGTTTTTATTGTATTCAGTGGGTTTTAATCCATCACAATCAGTATTGCTGATGCCCAAACTGTCTCAGCTTTGCCCAACAGGAGACTCCAAACAAATGCCTGGCTCATATTGCCACATTCCTACCGTTTCCATTAGTTAAGACCTTCTCATCAGCTCATTATGTGTCTTCCCTGCTTTGGTCCTAAAGTTGGTCATTTCTGGAGTGAACCCTGGTTCCTTTTAGTGAGGAATGGTATTTAAAGACCAAATATCATTAATTCAATGCTTTCCAAATATTTTTGAGATTAGAATATCGATACTTCGGTTCTTCAAGAGAACTATATACCTTGGGGCTGTGCGAGTCTATTCCAAGCAGGACGCTTTTTTGCAAGGAAAGAAAGCGGGATCAACTTTGTTTGATGAGCGTCCCTCCCCAGGCACAGTGCCGGGGAGTATGTAAATATCCCATCGACACAAACACACTACATGAAGCTCAACTACAAAGGCACTGCAGACGGTTGTGTACCAGGCCATAATCAAGGGACCAGTTCTAAGCAACCTTTCAAATACATGAGCAAGAATCACAGGTCTAGATACATCATAATTTCTATCTGATGAAATGGCTGCAAAGGAAAAAACTCCAGGCATTTCTCCAGCCAGATCAAGGTGGCAGATAATGTAGAGTATAACATGGCCTAACCTGACTGTTGGAAAATCAAAGTTAAAGGGGGAAAAGCCCTACAACAGAGCAGGAAGCATGTGCTAAAATATAGATATGGAAAATGCCTAAACCAATGGTAACATTACCAAGTAATGGGAAGGAAAGAAATGGGTACTGTGAGCATAGGGTTGCTGGCGGTCAATGTTTTATTGGTTTGGGTACTAATATCATGCATACAGAGTTATGATAAAATGTCTGCTTAGATTCCCCATTCATTTGCTTTACTGTAAAATAACTGTAGTTGTAATTTGATTTAAAAACCATGTATATGCCTGGTTTCCAATTTGTATCTCTCTCTGTATTGAGCTGAATGAATAGAAAACAACAAATCTGTGCACTGAAGTCTTCTACATTTTTATTAATGGAAGATTTCAAACAGTTAATGAGTTCCCACTGTATGCCAGGCACTGTACTATTATCCTTCAACACTCACTAAGGTGGGCACCACCACGATCCTCATTTTACAGCCAAAGGAGCCGAGAATGTCTAACTTTACAGGCTCATAAGGATAGAGGGTGGGACTGTGAGAGAAACCTAATCTCTCCAATCCTCGTTGGTCAAGACTTTCATCACTGTGCTTCCTTCCAGAAGGCAAACTTTTACTTACTGTGTATTATGTATAGGGCGCTATAACAGATTAAGACACGATTGCTCTTGGGAAGACCAAAGTATCAATAAGAAGACAAGGTTAACCTTTTCCCCCTTGAATGCCAAAGCTGAGTCATAGGCAAATGCATCAGAAAAAAAGCATAAGGCAGAAATGGCTCATGGTCAAGTAAAGCATATATAGAATGAATACTAAGCTATTAATGCCAACA